ACAGAAAACACTTTTCTAAAAATATAAATAAACGAATATTAAATAGAAAACAAACTGTTTTAAATATAATTAAACAAGAAACAAATAGACAACAAATTTTTTTGAATGTAAATAAATCACAAATAAATAAATAAAATTTTTGAGATATAAATAAACAACAAATGAATACAAAACAAACTGTTTAGAATCATAAATAAACAACAAATTAATAGGAAAAAACTGTTTAAAAATATAAATAAATGACAAATAAAAAGAAAAGAATTTTTGATTAATAGGAAAGAACTCCTTTGAACTAATGGCTTCTTGAATCATCTGTATACATTCGAAATGATATCCTCAATGTACAGGCAAGATTATTTGATTCTAGTGTAAGTAAATTTTGTTTTATATTTCCACGAAAACTAGCTTGCTAAAGAAAGTTTCTCCGCTTTGAATTGAAAGATTTAGCAAATCTATGTGATATAACTTAAACTTGTTTTAAATAAACTTTTTTTTTCGATTGTAAATTTCAAACTTTTTTGAAATTTTATTTTTTAAATATTCTTTTGTTTGTTTATATTTTAAATATTTCCTTTGAATACTTTAAAATAAAGATGACAATAAAAATGAAAAAGGACTAGAAAAATAATTTTGTATATGAGTAAATAAAGAAAAAGGAAATATAAAATCTCTGAACTTCTTTTGTTTTCTGTGAAAATAAAATAAAAAATAATAAAGTTTTTTTAAAATACAGTAGAGCATCGATTATCCGACTCAATTGGGAACTGGGGTTGGTCGGATAATTGAAAAGTCGGATAACCGAAAAGTATGAAAAAATACATTATTAGTGTAGTATATTTTATAGTGTAGTATATTAATTAGTATATTAGTATATCGCTATTAACCTACTTCGCGTTGAATTTTCCTCCGTGTTAAGCCTATCAAATTTTTTTAAAAAATAATAATTGCCGCTATTGTATCGTTAAAAATTAAAAAATTAAGCCTCGTTTAAATACTGGCCTCCCTTCAATAATCGAGCCATTGATGCCAGCTAAAACACGCAAAAATGTAACAAAAATAATATTAAAGTAGCCAAGACATAGCCAAATATTGTAGCGCCACATCTCTAGCGGACATTTGAAATTTGCCGACTAGAACGGTCGGTTAACCGAGGTGTCGGTTAATCGGGGGTCGGATAACCGATGCTCTACTGTAATGTAACACTTTCGCAAATAATATAATACTCTTGATACCGAAGAAACCTTTTATAAAAGTGATTTCTACATATGCTAAAGAGTGAATTTGTGATATTTCAAGTATATTATCCACATTTTCTAAAATCAAAGTGTCTATGTTTGAAGATGATGATCATTTTATAAAAGTAAATATCATATTTTTGCGATTGATATTGTACCATTGCTTAAAATTATATATTGTATACTGCATATTTTTTAAGTAGAATTTAGTATATCTGAAATTTTACTTTTCTGTTTTCAATATAAGTTGGTATTTTTGTAAAAATGATATTCTGTCTTCTGATAGTAGTAGTAGTTCTAGTTCTTCCAATGCTAGGTAGCATACCGGGCAGCAATAATGTTCCGTCAATTTCGATCACGGGCGATACCAGTTAGCACATTCGGAGATATCTCCTCTCTTATGAATTCTGACTTTATACTTACCTTTCCAATCCTGAGGGACCTCCTCACATTGCAAGCACCTGTTAAACAATAACGTTAGCTATTCCAACATGGGCAACCTTCCATGCTTCAAAATCTCAGTCGTAATTTCGTTCCACTACTATTCTTTACTATTCGCAATCTCCACTTTCTGAAGGGTGATGTCACCAGTGTCCACTTGAAGCTCATCCTGTGTATCCTGAATATTGATATCGTATATGATGGTCGGTTACTCTTGATTAACAGTTTTCTGAAAATGTTCCATGCACCTTTTGTTCTGCTCATCTTGAGCAATGAGAAGCTTCCCGTTTTTGTCTTTTATTGGAAGGCTGGAGTTCCCAGCCGTCAAATAAAAGACAAAAGTTCATTGACTAAGCGGTTCATTCCGGTCGGAATGAACCGCATAGTCATTCCGGTCGGAAACTTTCTGCTCTTCAGCGCCCATTCGTTCTAATCACTCCTTCTTGGCTTTCTGACAGCTTTTCATTAGACGTTTATCCAACTCGGTGAATCTTTTGCTTAGTTCCTTCATCTCAGCCATTGTTTTAGATTGGTCACTTTTAAGTTTTGCGTCGTTCCCCTCATCAAACAACTTCCACGGGCGATCTTGGGTCCACTGATCGTTTCGTCTTTCTCGACGCCTTCCAATGATGTCTTTGCAATGACGTCTTCCAATGGGTGCACTCTGCGGTAATGTCTCTGAGGTTCCAGGAGAGATCTTTATCTTTTATCTCTCCAAGGACAGCGAAGCAATTGTATAAATGCTTTGGCGATGATTGGATCATTTAATTTTTCTCTCGCGAACGGTCTTTTTACCATGAACTGTTTTTGATTACGAAGTTTGGGTTTAATATCCGCCTAACTAAGTAGTGATCAAATCCAATATCTGCACTTCTATAAACCTTGACATCGCGCGATGATGACCTCCACTTTTTACTAATACAAATAAAATCTATCTCATTAAAAGTGGGCTCATCTGGTGACAGCCAGTTCTTCTTATGAATAAGCCGATGCTGGGAGTAAGTGTTACCAATGGACAACCCGTTGTGTTCACAAAACGATGGTAGCCTTTCTCTATTGTCACTCATATAAGCAGAGGTCACATGAGCACCAATCATAGTCTCGATTCCTCCACGATCACCGCCCAATTAGGCATTGAAGTCCCTAATCAAAACCCTCAGGTAAAGAATCAAATCAAATCTTCTTAGAGCTGCTCATAAAATTCATTTTTTATTTTGTTCTCCGCATCGTTGGTTGGCTCATAAACCTTCATCACATTCGCTTTGGAATGTCTATCGGTAAAGCGAGCTGTAATAATCCGATCACGGAAGGGACTCTATCCGACTAGTGCTTTCGTCGCTGGTTTACTCAGAATAAGACCTACTCCACGTTCTTGCCGCTCTTCATGGCTCGGGTACAGAGTGGTCTTGCCATCACTACTGATTCTACTGATTCAGCTGTTTGATGTCCATCTAACTTCACTGACGCCAAGGATGTCCAACCGGTTTGCAACCAGTACGCACATTCCATGTTCAATTTTCGTAATATTTCTAGCAAAAACATCGTTTCCGACTTCGGACATCAGGCATCGTTCTCAGTTTCATCCGAGGCCGTAATATTACTTGGAGCTGAAGTTCGACTCGTTTGATCAAAATTTCTGCTTATTCTTCCTGTTTTCGTAGCATTCGTAGTTCTTACGGAAACGGATTTGCTATTTCGACACCCAACCCTCCTTCTTTTGCATTCGGGATATAACAGTCATTGACTAATGAAGACTAAAATTTTAACCGTTTATTTTAAACGTTCCAGTTTTCTGATAATAGATATATTTTCTTCTATTTAAATATATTTTTAACTCGAATATATATATTTTTAACTTATTCTAGAAATTTTAGGAATATTTTCGAACTGAAAATTCACTTTTTCTCCAAATATAATTTGGATTTTAGTTTACTTTTTAAAACTTAAAGTAATTTACTATTTATAAAATTAAATGGTGTTTTATAAAATGAAATTGTATGTTTAGAAATAAATGTTTTGTTTTGCTTTAGATTTATATGAATAATTTTACATTTTGTGAATGTACATTTTAAATTCAAGTTAAATTTTATTAAAGCAATGTTACCATTTCTACAATCAAATTATACTATAAAAAATTTATTCTCAGAGTAGGGATGGTTTTATGAAACATCGTAAATGCTAATAACCAGTAGAATTGTCATTTAGTCTGACCATACTGGAGATACATAAAACCTCATTATATTTCCACCCCCTTGATCTTTAACCATCAAAATTTAATACTGTTAGTCCTGGTAATACAAGAATTCTCCCTGCAGAATTTCAGAAATTTTCAACAAAAAGGACAACAGTTATTAAGATTTAAAAAGCTGAAAAAATCATGCTCCCATACACACTAAAATTCATACATACAGAAAAAACTTATAAATTTTTTTCACTTCTTGATGTTCCAATTTCCCTTGAGTCCAAAAATAAAAGGATTAATTGTTGACCAATCGCTGTACTTTACCTCTGTTATATATAGACAGCAGTTTTTCATAATTAGTTTCATTTATATTTTTCAGTTATTTTCACTAAATAATACTTCACTTTCAAATAATGCTTTAACACATATTTTAGCGTGACTACAAGCTATTTATTTTACTAAACCTGTCCTCTTTTCTAATGTGTGGCACCATCAAGCAGTAAATTTAATAAACAGAAATTATACTAATGAAGTAACAGTCAACAGAGGAAACCATTTAATTAAAAATATTGAAAAATATTGAAGTTGTTTATATCTAGTCTCTGAATCAATCACCAGATCAATACAAGTGAAGGTACAGTTGTATTGATCCAGTCAATTCATATTTTATCCCATGTCACGGGATAGATATGGTCGTACTATTGTGGGCCTATTTGATAAACGAAAAATATAAAAAAACATATAATGAAAAGGGTGAAAATTTAAAATACAGGCTGAAAGAAACTTGTCATTTTTAAACATTATTCGTTAATTTACAATTTTAGCTTTGATTTTTATGCTTTACGCGTTTTCAAACTGGTAATAATTAAATTAGGTCGTATTTTACAACATTATTATACTTAGTTGAAAATATGGCATAAACACATTGCACAATATATTCAAATTTACCGATATACAGCACTAATTTGTACAATTTAAAATGATCTCAACTAAAAAATAATTATGGTTTTTTGAAGAAGCAAGACTTGCATTAATAATTTTGTATTAACAGATTGACTACGTAGATGTGCATAAAAGCCATGACATAGAAGCACTGAAAACAGTGGTTTGCTTTCTTCAAAGGTTAAAGTTTACCTTACTGTCAGGAAAACATTACAATGCTTTGTAATGAATACCAAGCTAAGGTGGGTTAGTCACAGAAAAATATTTTGTGCTGTCATTTTCTCACAAGTACTCTAATTAGAGGCACGTGCGTCGTTGTAACTCAAACATTCCTTTGTTGTGCTATACTGTTTGCTATTTAAAGTATTTATGTTTAGAGGAACATGTGTTTTCGTCATTTTCTAGGTAAAGTGAATTTTCTTTTCACATTTGTGTCGTTAAGTAATATTTTTCTTAACATCATTGTTTGTAACTAGTCAATGACGATGAATTTATCTATCGTCAGAATCAGGCATGAATGTATACAGTTTTAATTGTCTATAGCATTCAAGTCAAATTACATGAATTTCTTCAACACCGCTATATTAAACGACAATTTTTAATTTTAAAATTTTAAATAAGGAAAGACTAAATAGGAAATAGTAAAATTTCATAATAAACCATAAGACAAGTAAAAAATTATCTATATCTATATCTATATATATATATAAAAATGGACATGTATGTCCCTATATCTCACTTTTTCGCCAAAACTACAGATCGCNACTTTTTGAATAAGTTTTGAAAAAGTAATTTCTTGAAGACAATTTTGCTTTCAAACAGAATGGTTGAGTATTGTTTATACTTTTTACCTCTAAGGGCGTCTCTAAATGCTATTAATTTTAAGACACAGCTGTGGTACGATTTAATCGCAGGTACGATTTAGGTTTATTCTAATATTTAAACTATTTTTAAATAACTAATAACTCTGTTCTACTTAGCAGCTACTAATAATAATTTGTTTAAAACAATCATCATTCAGCTATTTTAATTATCAACACCAGTTATGTATTTTCGTAATATAAAAATTCTGAAATCACGTCAAATTCACTTACAGTTACTTTCAGTTACAAAACGTATTAAAAATTTACAGAATTGGAAAATTAAAAATCGAAATGTAAAGAGTTGAGTCTACTAACAAATTCTTAATAATAATTTTGGTAAGAAAATAATTCTAGTTTACGAGGAATATAAATTTTTTCTAATGTAGATTTATTAATAAACTCTAAGAACAAGCCTATCAATAAATTTGTAGAATTATTATTATGTGCAATTTTAGGGAAGATAATCCATTTGTTAAGATCATAAAAGACCCAAATTTTATATTTTGCCTTCATAAAAAGTTCAGACATAAAATAATTTTATTGATAACACGCACATGGTCTCAGTCGTCAATATCATTTCCTTTCTGAATATATAAAATAATACATTTAGTAATCATTATACAGAGTAAATCTATAAAGTCCATGTTCACTTTTAAATACTAACAGTTTTCGAACTATGCATGAGAGAATTAGGGTTTCTCAAACTGGATCCCGTTGTTTTTTTAACCAGGGAAATATCCCGGGAAATTTTTCTCATTCCGGAAAATCCTGCAAATTTCTTAAAAATTCACTGTTTTCTTATTTTGTTTTAAGGTTGAAGAAATTTTGCAAATAGAAGGTATAATTAACTCCTTGGGTGTTTTTGTGCAGCCCAGAATGGCACTTGGAAATATCTTAATTAATTGATTTTTTAATTAAATAATTATTTCCACCCATTCGTGAATTTGACAGCAAAAAAAATTGCCGGGAAATAATTTCCGCGAAATAAATACACTCCCAAAAAGTGTTTTTACAGAAAAACCAGGGCTGTGGAGTCGCGTAAAAATCTACCGACTCCAACTCCGATTCCGACTCCGACTTTTCCTTATCATCCGACTCCGACTCCGACTCAACAGCCCTGCCAGGGCTGTGGAAGTCGCGTAAAAATCTACCGACTCCAACTCCGACTTTTCCTTATCATCCGACTCCGACTCCGACTCAACAGCCCTGCCAGGGCTGTGGAAGTCGCGTAAAAATCTACCGACTCCAACTCCGACTTTTCCTTATCATCCGACTCCGACTCCGACTCAACAGCCCTGCCAGGGCTGTGGAAGTCGCGTAAAAATCTACCGACTCCAACTCCGACTTTTCCTTATCATCCGACTCCGACTCCGACTCAACAGCCCTGCCAGGGCTGTGGAAGTCGCGTAAAAATCTACCGACTCCAACTCCGACTT